AAAAAAACAATGCAAAAATTATCCTAGCTTTTAATTATTTTTTATGTTTTCTTTTTATTATTACCATTTTTCTTGTGTCAAACAATAATTTTATAAAGAAAAGAAATATATGGATATATTTTGTATATAATAAAGAAATACATGCAGGACATATTTTGTATATAATATTATACATAATTATATGTGAAACTTTTTTTCCCGGGGTGGCGCAGAAATTACAAAAAAAAGAAAAGATAATCACACTACTTACTTTATTAATTAATTTAGTAAAAAGAAAGCAAGTTAGGCAAATTAATATTTTTTAATTAAAATAAGTTTATGAATAAACTAAAATGTATGTATATATATATGTGCATAAATATAATTGTAAAAATGGCAGAAATTAAGGCTTGCGCATTGCTATGGGTATAAACATGTCTTATTGTTAGTTACGAGCATACCATGTCTACTTGCATGTCAGTAACAACGAAAGTCACTCGAGAGTCGAGTGGATAAATTAAATACGCATACAGAGAGAAGGTATATATACACATACATGGTGGCATCCCCTTACCCTGACAACCATGTACAACCCTATTAAAAAAGAACTATTAGTGCACTAAAAACACTACTGAAATGTAGTAGTATCATTGCTATACCAGCAGTGCCACTAATACATTTCAGTCATGTTATCACTGCACTAGTAGTTTTTTTTTTACGAGGGAAAGCTTAATTTTTTTTAAATTTATACGAAAAGATGCATTTTATGATGATTATTATGATATTTATGAATAAAAATTCATTCCATATGTCGTTGAACATATCAAATTATGTAATTTTTTAAAGATATAACATATCTTTACTTTTAAAAAGTCGCCGGATAGAAGGAAAGATAAATTTGAACTTAATTTTTTTTAAATTTGTATGAAAAGAGTCAAATTTTATGATGATTATCATGATATTTACGAATAAAAATTCATTCCATTTATCGTTGAGTGCATCAAATTATGTAATTTTTTAAAGACGTAACGTATATACCTTTACTTTTAAAAAAACGCCGAGTGGAAGGAAAGATAAATTCAAGCTTAATTTTTTTTTATTTGTATAAAAAGATTCAAATTTTATGATAATTACCATGATATTTACAAACAAAAATTCATTCTATTTATCGTTGAGTGCATCAAATTATGTAATCTTTTAAAGACGTAACGTATATACCTTTACTTTAAAAAAAACGCCGGGTGGAAGGAAAGATAAATTCAAAAGCTTCTTTAAATACAAACTTTATCTCTATAGAAATGAAAAAAACTTTTCGATACAATCATTTTTCACGGAGTTATGCTTATTTAAACTTATGCGATAATTTTGTTAATGATTATATTACAACATCCTTTGTTGCTAGTTTTATTGGCCTCTTATATCATCTAATTTTATTTTATTTCTAAATACGAACCAATATATAATTTTGCTTTAAAGTCTGTGAATAGAAAGAGACTGAAAATTTATAGAACTAATCAAATAATCTTCACACCAATCAAATAGCTTTAATCTTGATCCGTTTTATTCTGATTAGTTGAATTCTATCTCCAGTTCGCAATCTTTTATTTTTAACATAATATAGGATTTAAGTTTGTTCTTTATAACCGCACTATATGTTATATTTTCTACATTTAAAATAAATGAAATATATAGGTATAGAGTTAGATGTTGAAAAGAAAAAAAGAAGGGTTGAAAAATACAAAAATTTCAATTATAATAAACATCTAATCTGCAACAATAGACGCTTTCTAACAAGAAACATAGATGCAATATAATACATAATATATAACGTAGTAAATCATTACAACCATTATTATTTATAAATGTTAAACAAAGATGAAATGATTGATTGTGTTATATATATATTAGGTCATTTGTTACTAGACTCACGCCCAATATCTCTGATTTAACCTTTGACAAAGTACGTGAAAGTACATGAAAAATGTAGTTAATTTGGTTATTGTAAATATATATGTGTTTTGAAGCAGTGATATAAATTTATTATTATTAATTGGGGGTTATTATTATTAAACGTAAATTAAACAGTACACTAATAATATTGATCATATAAATAATATAATACAGTAAGTAAGCTATTAGTAATATGATAGCAGTTTGTGGATAGGTATAATAGATATACTGCATCGATTACTACTAATTATGTCCGCATTATAAATGCGTATTCTGTAATTTGCGGTTGTAGCGTGACGACAAATTATGCATGACAACAGAAATGGGACGAACATTTTAAAATAATTAAAATGATATTTTTATTTAATAATAAAAGTAATAATTAATAGTTATAATATAATGCACGGCACAATTGAATTTTTCTTACTATTTTTATT